AAAGAGGCACTTGATTGAGTAATTCTTCCCGGTTTACTAATCAAAGGAATCGCACCACTTTCAAAAATGCCAATATAAAACCTTATAATGTTATTTTAACTTTAATTTTAGTTACGGTTTTTTAGTTTAATTAGTTACAGTTTTTAGTTTTGGTCACAACACTACCCAGTGAGAAATCGGCTAGCGAATAGCTAGCTATAAATGTTACGATGAAGACAGCGAGTTCGTTGCGAGGATCGCTAGCTTTTTTAAATTAGCGAAAAGCTATTGATGTTTTTAAAGATAAAGATAGCGATTTCGCTAAGAGGACATCTAGCTTAATAAGTTTAAGATTCACTGGCTATTGTACCTAGCGTTATATCGTAATAAAATTGTTGTCTAAAAAATTTTGATATGTAGCCATCAACCAGCTATAGATTTGTAAATATTTTGTAGCTAGCTACAACGCTACTATATGAAACTAGCGACATATTGCTACAAAATCGCAATGTTTAAAGTACAATTATTTTCATAATTAAAATAGACTCAACACTAAAAATTGAATTTTTAAAGATGTTAAACACATTTGCAAAAAATAAAATAAGAAAAAAAAAATCGCTGGAAAACCGCTTTGAAGCTAGCTAATCGCTCGCTAGTCGCTTGCTCATTTCCTGCCGGGTATATTTTATTAAGAAATAAACTTAGTTTATATTTAAAATAATATAATAATAAAATAATTTAACAACTTTTTTGCTAATATTATAAATTATTCAAACAGATTGCAATGTTACGTTTTGTTCTCATTGTAGACGGATGGTTGATACCTAAAGTTTCAGTTTCTATATTATCAACAAAATGATAAATTTCTAAGGCTTCGTTATAATTGCCCATATTGTCCATACAATCTGCGATATTATGTTTTGTTGTCATTTTAAATGGATGGTTGATAACTAAACTTTTAGTTTCTATTTTATCAATAAAGTTATAAATTTCTAAATTTTCGTTATATTTTCCAATTTTGGTCAATTAGCCTGCGATATTATACTTTGTTGTCATTGTGTCTGGATGGTTTATACCTAGAATTTCAGTTCGTTTTTTATCAACAAAATTAAAAATTTCGAAAGATTCGTTATAATTTCCCATAAAAAACAAACAGCTTGCGATATTATTTTTTGTTGTCATTGTATTCGGATGATTGTAGACGGACGGTTAATACCTAAAACTTCAGTTCGTATTTTATCAACAAAATAATAAAATTCTAAAGCTTCGTTATATTTTCCCATTTTGTTCAAACAGAGTGCGATATTATGTTTTGTTGACATTGTAGACGGGTGGTTGATACCTAAAATTTCATTTTCTATTTTATTAACAGAATAATAAATTTCTACAGCTTTGTTATATTTTCCCATATTATTTAAACAGTTTGCGATATTATGCTTTGTAACAAGTGTGATTATGTTATTTTTACCATGAGTTTCTGTGTTAAAACTTTGAACAGCTTTTAATATTTCAATTGCTTCTTCAAATAAACTTTTACATATAAATAACTTTTGTATAGAAGTCGTCATACGATAGAAGGCTTCCGAAAATTTTTTTCCGTTAATAAGAAACATATAGATAAAATGAAAAATAAAATGATTTCCGAAATCCATGTGATAATTTACTTTATTCAATTCAACTTTTAAAGAACTTTCAATTAAATCAAGGTATGTATTTGTATTTGAATTCCTCTTTTGAAAACATGTTAACTGTCTCAACTCGTGTATTGTATATTTTTTTATCATTAAAACAGTTTAGTAAAAAATAAAACATTAAAATAAAACATTTAAATAAAACATTAAAACAGTTTAGTAAAAAATAACTCATTAGTAATCTAATTGCTTCATCTATTAAAGATTCATTGTTTGTTTCCACTTGATTTTAGATTTGGGTTATAAATTGTTTACTGATGATTTCAACGTCGCAATTATATAAACAGTTTATTATTTTAAATGGAATAGGTTTAGTTTTTTCTAATTTTATTAAAACTAAGTTAATTGCTTATATTGTAGACTTTGATTCTACTTCGGTTCAAAAGTTATTATCATCTAATATTTTTGATGGTTTTAATCTATATCGATCTATGTATTTTTTAATCGAAATTTTATGTATATTGATATTTTTTATTGCCTGACTAATTGCAAACGGTTGATAACCAAGTTCTGTAATAAGTTTGTTATGTTTTCGTCGCTGTTTTCTTTAATTTTATTTTTTCATAAGCAAACGCTTCTTCAGAAGCGTTCGCTTATGTAAAAAATAAAATTAAAGAAACATTAACTTGCACTTTTTTTACATTATTTGACCATGTTCTCCATTGGGAAGTAATCAACATTAATGAATTCGGTTTTCTTGAAATGTACATTGACAAATGTTTAACATTTTCATCGTCGACATTGTTAAAAATTTACAAAGTCTTTTCATTTTTATAATAGTTGTGAACTTTTTCAATAATCACTTTTATATTAAAATAATCTTCTTTCGAATCATGAACCTCTAATCCTAATATTTGACATTGGTTTTTTATTGAGATTTGTAACAATCCAAATGCTGCATCAATCCAAACAATATTTTTATATATGTTATAAGATATTTCACAATATTTTCTTAGAATATGTGTTATTCCGACACCCGACATTCCATATAATACTAAAGTTAAGTTGTTTGCATCTTTTTTAAAAAAATGTTGATTTTCACTTAGTTGTTTCTTGCGAAAAACAAATTTTCTGAAAAAGATTGAATACCTAAAAATAGACGTATGGTTAGATGTATTATAAAAAGTTGTTAATTTAATTAAAATAAATTTGATATTATTTATTAAGTAAAATGTTTCAATTTCTTACTAAGGGGTCGTCTATAAAGTACGTACGTTCATAGAGGGGAAGGGAAGGTCTTTAAAAAGCGTACGAAATACGTATGGGGGGGGGGGGAAGACTTTGATTTTTACTTTGATTTTCTAATTATACACAAACTACCATCTAGTCAAAAAAAAAGTTTAAATTGTGACTAAAGATTCTAGTTTGCTTACATAAAAAGATGTATTGTATAGGGAGTAGAAGGTATAGTTTCTCTCTATGCACACTCATGCATAGGCGCCCACAGGATTTTTTGATGTTCCAGATAAACCACTTCCACACATTGTGCAAACTCCAAACTTAAACTAATACCTATACCATTTGACGAGGCCCTGCAAAAATTTGCCCAAATTTGAGGGCATTAATGAAGTAAATTTTCCGACCCCAGACCCCCAAAAAAATAAATAAATGAGGGACAATACATTATGCATATACATAACTTTTGTAATTTACAATTTTTTTTAACGAAATTTGAATTCTGTCGATAAAATTGAATTTAGATCGTTATTGTTAAAATTTTACTACATAAGTGCCCTCGCGTTTGAGCGGGGGCAAGCTTTACAGGGTAGTTTGTTGACAGGACTCCGCCATCCCAATTTTTTACAAAGTATCCTCATAAGGTAAAAACATACTTAAGTTTGGAGTTTGCACAATATATGAAAGTGTCCTATCTGGAACATCAAAAAATCCTGCAAGCGCTCATGCTACCCCTAATATACTGGCCCTGAGTATACTCAGGGCCAAAAAACAGGTTGTTAACTCAAAAAATAGGTTGCCTATTTTTTTGAGTCAACAAAAAACAAGTTTCAACAGTGCAATGGCTAAAAGACCGAGTTTGAATCCCAGTAAAATAGGACTTTACTTGGGTTCGAACTTGGATCTCCGCTGTCACTTTTCATAACATTATCCACTCAGCCGAGCAATCTCTTTGATATTGTAAGATTTAATTTTATTTAAATTTATATTTGTATGCATTGAATGATATTTTTTTTCAATATGGATCTTTTGCCGCTAACAAGTGGCTTTGGGGTCGTTTAAATACTTTATACGTATTCCACCCCCCGTCTATTTTTTGTTTATAACTAAAAATTTATTAAAATAAAAAAGGTGTAGGAGGTACCCTAGCTAATTTTAAAGTATTTAGAGTATCTTCTGCAACTTTTTTTTTTTTAATTGGGGGAAAGGGGTACATGAAAAACTTTCGTACTTTTTAAGGGGGCGGAGACTTAAAAATACGTACGGCAATAGGGGGGAGGGGGTGTCAAATATCAGAGTTCTTGGGCTACGCACTTTATCGACGACCCCTAAACATTTCTCTTTTTTTCAAATGTAGCGCGTTTTTATTAAATTTAAAATTAATTTAATAAAAACGCGCTACATTTGAAAAAAAGAGAAATGTTTAATAATTAATTTTTTATTAAATTAAAAAAGTTTTTATATATAAAAGATTAGACTAGTTTTGAAATTATATTTGAAAAAAGTTTTATGTTACACTTTAATAATTTTATATATTTTAAAAAGGTTTCGTAAACAAAACTAAACATACTTTGTAACTTAACAATTTGAAAAAAAGGGTACCCTGAATGCGACCTAAGACCTTATTTCTTATTATTTGTTTTAGAAGACTTTAACAACATTTAAGAAATAACAGCGAGTTTATTTATCTATTTAAATAAGACTTTTATATTAACTTAAATTTAATAGCCGATTGAAAAATATAGGAACCATTTCTCGAAAACGGAAAAGAAATGTCATACTTTGCTAAAGATCAATACGAGTTTTTAAAATGCTTTTGCATATTCTGTATAAAGAAAATTAATGATTTAAGATGCATTTAAACCAAATGCATAAAACCAGGTTCATTAAACATTACACATACATTAAACCAAAACAAGAAATAAATTATGAAAATCTTGATAAGTGATTTTTTTGGGAAAACTACTCTGTTGAAAACCCTGATCTGCCTAATATATTATGTTCCTATTGCAGAAAAAAAATGAGTTTAGAAAAAACAGATTGAAATACGATTTTCATTCAACGCTCAACCTAAGTACAAAAGAAAGTTTGATAAAAAAAAAAAGCCAATAAAAAATAAGCCAATAAAAACTAAGCCAATAAAAACTAATTATGTTTTGCATTATTATTGTTGTGCTTATAAACAATATTGTATTTACACTAAAAAAATTACTTCTTATTACTTTTAGATCTTAATACTAAAATTGTACTAGGTGGGAAATGTGAGTGTTTTATTTGTGTTAATGTGCGTAAAAATGGTACTGAAATAGCAAATCTTCCACTAATGGTATCATGTGAAACTAGTACAAATATAGATCATAATCACTGATTTAAATCTTTCCACAAGCAATCAAAATCTTTTTCTTTGCAGAAGTTTTCAACAAATAAAGAAAGGTACTAAACATCCTTGCACAATGTTAGCTAGGCAAAGGAAATTGACGCATTGTACAATCCACCTCACCTATAGCAAAAAGAAAAATTTTATCAACTACAATTAAAAATTTAGTAACCCATGACACAAAAATAATGTTGAACAATTTTGGCGCAAGGAAGCTTGTTGTTTTAATTGGAGTAGCTAACAAAAAAAAACTTACTTTTTACACTCTTTCTTTCACATTGTACTTTCACACTGAAACTACTATAGAAGAAACTACTATAGGGGAAATTAATATTGGGTATAGATTGTCTGCTACAAAATTCAAAATATATAAACTATTTTAAAAAAACATTAATTTTTTTTAAACATTTGTATCAAATTTACTAGTGATTATAAAATGTTAGAAATTGCCCAATTTATATGAGTGAAAGGAAAAAAAAAATCTGTCAAGTTTTGTTTTTATAAAAAGTTAACAAAATAAAACAAAAGTCTATTGTCTGTTTGATGCTGAGATTCAGTCTAAACAAGATACCAGTGATAATTAAAAAGTGGTATTACTTAATATATGGTAAAAGTGGTATATATATATATATATATATATATATATATATATATATATATATATATATATATATATATATATATTTACATATAGTGTTTTTTTTTAAACTAGCTTTACTAAAAAGATCTATAAAAATTATTTTTTTAACAAAAATATTATTTTATGCTACATTTCTGAGTAGGAAAAAATATTGGCGCGATATTGTGTACACACTTTACATGCTAAAAATAATATTACGCCAACATTGTTTGTTACTACGGCAATAATTTTTTATTTTGATTATTTTGAAAGTTGATAGCTTAAAATAAATCATTATCATCGGACTTAAAGTTATTATGTTATTATTCAGTGTATTGAAAGAACTATTCCTATGATACTATTTGGTGTAATAAGCAAAAATGTTGATGAGTTTGTTTGAACAGTTTTACAACATAGACTGGAGTAGATGGAGGGCAAGGCTCTCTAAAGATTATCTTATCAATTGCATTATAGCCAAAGCTAGAAACACATTAAAGTGAAAGAAAAAGAGTGAAATATTCTGATGAGTATGGAGGTAAAGACTTTAAGTACACTAGTGTTCGCAAAACTTTAGTTTTGGCGGTATTACCCTCTGTTGATGAGAAAAGATAGCTAACTTTTAAAAAGTGATAAATTAGCTAATGTTCTAACTAGAAAATCCAAATTGTTATCAGAAGTTATTTCTAAATATGTTCCTTAAAGAATCAATCCAATAGGTCAAACAAACAAATATATTTTATGCAACTATTTGATCCACTCGCAGGGTCTCAGGGTGAATTAGAGGGGCATTAAGCTCAAGGGCCAATACTATAAACAAAAAATCGAAGTTTTTACCGTAAAACTTGTACTTTTTTGCTCTAACACAGAGGTTTTGCGTAAAAAGCAAAAAAAAACAATCCATTGCTATAAATATTGTTATAAAATCATAACAATTAATTGTTCTTTCTTTCTTTTTTTTTTTTTTTTGCTGTTTACGCAAAACCTCCGGGTTTAAGAACTTGATTCTTGTTTTAAGAACTTAATTCTTATTTTAAGAACTTGATTCTTATTTTAGACTTCCATTCTTATTTAAAGATATATCAATAAAAAACATTGTTCCTAATTTTATAATATTGTAACATTTTGTTTGTAAATAATATGTATGCATTTATTCATATATATACATATATGTTCATGTTTACGTGTATATGTATGAATATGTGTTTTGGTTTACGTGTATATAAAAGTTTGTATCTTTGAATTTATTTATATATAGATATGTATATGTGTGTATGTATGTAAACTTTGAACTAACCTGTTTTGCTGTTTTTATAACCAACCTGTTTGAACATTTTACTAAGTTGAAAAACGTAGGACTGAAAAAATAAAATGACACACGAAGAAATAGATGAAAAAAATATATCGTCTTCTTTGAACTGACCGTTAAGCTCAGTTCTGACAGACATTATTGAAGATCTGGAAAAAAAAAAAAGCAATTAAAAGTGGCAGAAATTTTTTTTCCTTTTTTTTTTTTGTTATATTAAAATTTAAAAAAACTAACAACAATAAAAACTGTAAATATTACATAATTTTACCTCACACAAAATAGAAGTTACTTCTTATACAAATATCTTCACATACAAATACATACATTTATACAAAAAAATTATAGCAGTATTTATATGCACACATTTTTTAATATATTAGTTTACTTGAAATAAACGTTTTGAATTTTATATAATGGAATTAATGGAAGTTTATAATATCTGAATGAAAAACCTTGTTTATTAAGATGTTTTTATTTGTCGAAAATACAATGTATGTTTGATTTTTAATTAAACTATGATAAATATTTTTACCATTAAAGGTAAAAAAACTTATAATACGAAATATGACACTTCACACTGTTAAAACTTCCCGTACTTTTACGAAATTTTTTTCTGTTATTTGTACGGAAACTACCCATTTAACAAAACTGAACGAAAGTTTTCCTTCTTTTAAAATATATTTTGAAACACGGAAATTTTTGTTGGAAAAAGGCTTTATTATGGAAGCTATAGTAAAATTTTAACATACAAACTTGTTACATTAAAAAAATTTTTTAGATTTTTTAGCTAGCGCGTTTTTTAAATATAACCAATTCTAGTTTATGTATATATATATATATATATATATATATATATATATATATATATATATATATATATATATATATATATATATATATATATATATATATATATATATATATATATATATATATATATATATATATATATATATATATATATATATATATATATATATATATATATATATATATATATATATATATATAAGTGTATACTTATAATGTTAAATATATACTTAAATGGTGTTTAAAATTATTATTTTATTACTATTTGTAAATATCCAAGAAAATTTATCTTCTGAATATATATACGATTGAATTATCTGCACATTTCATAATTATTTAATTGAAATGTAAATATATTTTTGTGAAAATTATATTTAGATAAAGTTTTATGGTATTTTTTTACTTCTAATTTTTTTATTTTGTTTGTCAACCTCGGAGTCGGAAATACGTCATAATCTTTGCCGCGAACATCTATCATTTTAGTTGGGGGAAAATAAACTTTCGTTATGAAACGAAAACAATGGCAAGGGTTGTTGTGTCTTTAAGTGATTTTTAATATATATGTTTTGTAAGATGGTTTTGTTATTTTCAATCAACTCTGGTGACTAAGATGGTTTTGTGGTTTTAAACGCACAAGTCAGACAACTTGTGTTTTTAAAACAAAAAAAACTAGAGCCTAATGTCATGTGAAAAACTTTTTGCATCTAGCCAAAATAATTATAAGCATATAATGCTTCATAATTATCTATAGCCTCAAAAGAAAATATTATAAGACTTTTTAATAAATAATTATAAACGTCATGGTATTGAACTCATGGCCATTCCGTTTGATCATCTTTCCAAGTATTTGCAAGGAACTTGTATAGACATCGGTTGATTTCAAGGATTGCAAATTTAATTATATACCTTTTTGCGGCGTTAAAATCTAATAACTCAAAGTATTCGTAAACCGATATTTCTTTTTTTAAACTCTTTAAATCACTTTTTCGTAATAATTGTCCTGCTTTATTAACTCAACTAATCATTTGTTCTCCCCCATCCAAGATGGTAACAACTTGCGCTATTGTTTTTTTGCATAACCACGTGACTTTCTGACTGCGAGGATATTTCATCTTTACATAAGCTGATTTTATTATAGGCCGTGGATAGAATACCGAAAGTTTTTATATAAACTCTCTATATAAAAATGAGATTTGTTTTTACACGTGACCTTTAGCAATCTATGAACTCGCTATTAAAAGTTAAAACTTTCGGTACTCTATCCACTGCGTTTATTATATTTTATTACAATGTAATATTAATATGTAATTTATATGTAATTTACATATAAAATAAAAACTTTTCTTCTTGAGAATGTTTTAATGACAATGATAAGGATTCTTAAAGGTAAACTAATTTTTTCAATTTGAGATATGTTTTGGTTATGTTTGATGTCTATATTAATATATATTAATATATATATAAACATCGACTTTCGGTAGCTAAATCACTTCGAATTACTAAATCAAAGCTCTTTTTAGTAAAATTATATATAAGTACAAGTTTTTAGAATACAGGGTTTTTAATCTGGAAAGTATGACACACCCTACTGTTTAAGCTATGCAAATTACAGTGTGTGTCGATTTATGAAATAGAATTTATAAATTAAATGAAAATATGTATGATAAATTGATAGGACAGTATTAATTTTTAGGTATTGGCAGGCTGTACCTGACGACTTACCTTCCTGCAATGAAATTAAAAGAACAAAAACTTTCAATATTGATTAGTCTATTAAAATTTTATTGTCATTTTTACATGGTTTCTACTAACTATAATTGTAAGTGTAAAAACATGCGCAAACTGGCAATCAGGATATTTTTGAGCAAAAATTAACACCGTGTTTGAGTTACCTCATATTACACGAAAACTACTGAATATTCATATTACACTAAAACTACCATTTGTTTAACGGAAAAAACCCATTGTATTTTAACGGAAAAATCCGTTTGTTAACGGAAACATCCGTTTACATGCGATGGGTTTTTCCGTAAAATAACGGGTAGTTTGGTCATTGGCAGCTGCCGGAACTTTTCCGTAAAAAACGCGCTTTTTTTAACAGTGCTATTAAAAATTATGTAAATCACATTTTTAAAAATCACATGTAAATGTTTTACTATATTAAGGTTAAAAGTTTGTTATTGACTCTATTTAAAAGAATGTAGTAAAATTGTTAGATAGGGTACTAACTTGGTATCATCTTTTGTAACTATTCCTGTGTCTATCCAAGCTGCCGTTGCAACTTCAGCTGTTTCCCGTAACCCTGTACCATACCGTATGCTTGATAACGCTTTGTTGGAAATACTTTCATAATACCTTGTGCTCATAATACCTTTGTCATCGTAAACGTTCCTGATCTTCATTCTGTCGACACATTAGAGTGAGTTCAGTATTGATGTTTGTTATGAAACATTCATTACTTAAATAGTTCATCTGTTTTGCTAAATTCAAATTCAAACGTTTCCTCCTGTCTTTTAATTATTTGTTCCAGTACTTTAGACGCTTTTTGCTTTAGCTATGGATAAAGTATTTGAATTTTTATTAATTGATGTTTTGTAAAATATTGTAAGTAAAAATAATTTTATGAATATATTTTTTATTTGTCATTTCCTAATACCAGTGAAATATAAATAGTCGCATGTAAAAATTTCATTTTGAGTGTAATTAGATTTTGTTATTTTTTAACTGAAACAGCCTAATATATTTGAAATATAACTAAAATTAATTTAACTTTGGAGTTTAATTATTTTTTCTTTATTACCTAATTACTAATTAAAAACATAACTAATTAAAAAAATTCTACTTCTTCCTTCAATCTACTTTTTCCAATTTTATGTAGCTTTTTGTTTTTTTTCAAGTCAGCTAATCTAATTTGATGCAGATTGGTAGTCCCTATCATAGCTCTTTGCCCAAGTATAAAAACTAACTTTTTTCTTTGGAATCTTTTTTTTCTTTTTGCACGTACAGTTAATATGGGCTTCATCGTTACATTCTGAAAAACAATTTTTCTTTTGACATGTAATAATTTGGTAATTACAATTCAGTATATCAAACAATTTGTCAAGTTTTGCAAAAAGTCTTTTTTCTTTAAGCTTGCTTTTCCTCTAGCAACCAGGTTGGCACCATTCCATTTATTCACCAGTGTTGCAGTAATATAATGTTCAATATGTGTTACAGGATATACAAACAAACCATTGGCGTGGATCTATTTACCAATCAACTTTGAGTAAACATTGTTCATTAGTGATTTTACTGGATAGTTTTTTTTGTTTCTATTGTTTCTTTCTTGCAAAAACAGACCATATCTAAGAAGATTTCTTAGCGTTGGTATCTCCAGTACAAGAACATCTGTTCCAGAACCTACATATTCCGAATTCTTTGATCCGCTTCTTTTTCTAGTTCTAGAAGATATTGACTCTGCCATGATTAAATAGCAAAGTTCATAATTTGCAAACTTTTTGGGTAAATTTTTTAATTTTTAAAATTTTTTATAATATTTTTTAACATTTAACATACAAATTATATGTTCGACTATTTATAAATTTGCAACTATATATAGTTTTGATATCAAATAGAACTCAACGTAAGTGGGTGTGAACAATTACTTGCGTATAAAAATGCGTGGACGCAAAATAAGATCTGTCGTTAGGGGCAAAGCTAATTACGAAAAATTGACCATAAATATGTAATTTCAAAACACTATTCCAGGTAGCTTAACATAAACTATTTTTAGTTTATTTTTTTTGGTTTTAATATAAATAGTTGTACACAAGTTTACTATATACCAGGTTTTAGGAAAAGCTTTTTTTTCAAAAAATCATAAAGTATGACACATCCTATTAAACAGCCTAGCTTTATATATGTTGCGGATTAAATAACTAGCTTAACTAAATCTTAAACATATATAATAATTTAATTTCAAACCATAAATATAATAACTTAACCTTAAACCAATAGTACTACTATATACTACTACACTTTAATTTTATTTTGATGTTTTTAAAATTAAGGAAAGATATCCTTGAACCAAACATAATAATCTGATACCTCGTATCAGATTATTATAACCTGATACATGGTATATGTAGTTATGTTGAAATCTGTAAGGCATGTATTCACATGCTTTTTAGATTTCAACAAAGCTTTTGATAGCGTTAGTTATTTTAATTATTGGAAAATTTTTAATTTTTGATAGCGTTAATTATTGGAAATTATTTAATATTAATTTAAATCTTGGCAACACCAATTAATTTAATTAATTTATAAATTAATTAATTTTAATTAATTTTAATTAATTTATAAATTAATTAATATTAATTGGTATTGCCAAGAATGTTGTCTGTCTACTTGTATCTTGGTATAAGAATCAAACTATGATGGCAGAAAGTCTTGGTTTGCATTACAAAAATAATTAACTGCATTAAATGTTAAAGTCACTGCTATTAACATGTCATTTAATACAAATAAAATGGTGTGCATGGTATTTAACCCAAAACAGAGATGTAAGATTGTGTCAAGCAACTTTCCGCTGTTTACCTTAGCTGTCTTAGCCTTATAAATCAGTTAATTACTTGTGCAAGCAGCAATGCAGCTGTGTATAGATAAAACAAAATTTTTAATTAATTTTTTTTTTATCTTAGACATGAACCTTGAACTGTAATTGTTGTCTGAATCAAATAAATTAATTTAAAAAAATAATAATATCTGATGCCCTGTATCAGATGTTTATCAACTTTTAAAAACAAACGACAAAATGCTTTTGTTTTTGAACAGGAAAAATATATATGGATATAATATAATTTTTTCTCACAAAGCCTGCTTATCTCAGCCAAATAAAATAAAAAGTAACATTTAGTGTGTTTAAAAATCCTAATAGTTCCCCAGGTCTTATTTATTTATTTTTTTTTCAATAGTAAGGTATACATTAGTGGACACCGTTTATATTATTTAGAATCTCTTGAATGTTAGAATTTTCAAAAAAAATTGAGAAAACAAAATCAAAAAATAACTATAACTTATCACTGTGGACCTGAGTGACCGCCAGATTAAAATGTACCCCAGGTATAAGTTTTTTTCAATAGATGGGTATACATTAGTAGACACTATTTATAACATTTTTATTTATAACTTCTGGGTTGTTAGAAAAACTTTGGAAAAAAAACAAAATATTTAGAAAAAAAATTCAAAAAATAGCCAAAACTTATCCTAAACATATAAAGGTACAAAATAAAAAAGCTTTATGTTAATTAGTTTATTACAATATATATTTGAAATTATAAACATAAAATTAAATTATATAATTATTCAATTTATTTATTGTTTTTTGATGCAAACTCAATAACACTGGATTTTAATCGTTTTGCTATTCAATATGGTTAACTTTTTGTTAGTATTTATTCCATGTTTTTTTGAATTCATGATGAATAGCTTCACCTGTTTCCTCACAGTAAACTCCTAGGACGTACTCAGTAGAATGAAGAAAACGAAGTATATGACATACTGCTATCTGAACTTTCCATGTAACAATAAGCTCGATACCCTCGAATGTGGCATGCACGTACTCAATCAAATCTGTATAGGACTTTTTAAACTCCAGAGCAGCAGTGCTGATGGTATCCCCTGCTTCCATACCAAATGTATCTTCTTGAAGGCATTTAAATTTTTTAAGACTGTTTACTATCGGTAATAAGTCATATTTTTGATTGTTTATAACATCTCTTTTAAATATATCCACCAACTTCAGGAACTTGTTTGCATAGTTTCCGTCAAGTCCTACCTTGGTACCCTCGGTATCCTCGAAACATAATGTAATTTGATTGTAACCATTTCTCAAACAAACGCTATACATTAACCGGAAGTAATGTAAGTTTACTTACTATTCCCATTAGAATATGGAGCTCAGGAACAGAAACTAACTCCTCAAGAAGAGTTTCAGGATCTTCCTCTTTGTACAAAAGTAAAATTGTTGTAGTGCTCATCTAAAGACCTAAGTTTTCTCTTGATACCAGACTCAAGAGTGCAGGATCCCTCACAATATAAACAACTGTATTTCCCACCATGGCTACTTATTCCGAACACTGAATTTGCACAATTAAGATCGAATGCAACGTAAAACTTTACATCCTTTAAATTCAGAGGCTCAATTAGCCTCAATATTCGAAGATATTGTTGGCTTAGCATAGGAACAGCTACAAATGGTCATTAAGGCTAATCCAAAGTAGCGTCCGTTATTGACCAATATTTTTGCGTACCGAAGTATTACTCAAGCGCTGAGTTGGCGGTGGCAGGATTTGAACTCGTATTGTTCTACAGTCTGGATTTAAACTTTTTGTTTGACACTCCAACCAACTGAGCTATCCCGCCACATTACAGCCTAATATACTAGCATGAGGCTACCCGTTATGAATATTTAGGTCCAAGCTGTTCTGCTGCTACAATGACATTGTTGACAACTTTGCTCTCTGTACAGATATGAACTACTCCTTGCACTAAATATTTATGTTTGAAAAAAAATGAACAAAGTTTTAAATTAATTAAATTTTTCATTAAGTACAACAAATTTTGTTGTGTGAAGTATTATAAAAATTTCATCAACAATGTCATTGATATTTAATGATGTTCTAAGATGCAATCTATCAATCTAAATCAACGGAAAAAATCTTGGTCATTAAGTTTTATTATTTTGCTGGAGTAATATTTTAAATTTTAAATGACTTTTTACCGAACTGTGTAAGACAAACAGCACACGTTTTATTTAAATATTCCGCCATTTTATAAACAATTTTAAAATATTGCGAACTTTCAACCGAG